CAATGTGAAGTAAGCATGTGTGTTGTCTCAGGAAGTTGTAATGAGTGATTATGCTCTTCAACAAACTCACGAATGACATACTTGTTGTTGTTTGCCAAAGACAATGATATCCTTGCAAGACATTCAGTTCTAGTTTCTGGTCGATGTTTTGTGACTTGGGGTTTTCTTTTATCTTCTATTCGATGTCCCTCTTTACAACAAACATATCTACAACCTGTAATGACACCATCTACCTTTCTCTTGTTAAAATATTGTTTCCTGACTCCAAATCCTGCCAGCTTGCCATATTCACACCAAAATCGCCATGCTTGCTCAAGACTCTCAAACTCTTGCCCGACACTTGGTTTCCTTGCGACATCCATTCTTCAGTCCAATAAAATACCAGTAAACATGATAAATATTTTGACCAAAATAATGTTATTTAACAAATGAAATGGTAAAATGTGCACCTTTAGTATGTTTGAAGACTTTCTTTATCACAGTCTAACCTGAAATGGATTTTTTTTTCTGCGAACTTGTGTCGTTTATCCTCACCCTAAGTGTGTAATAAGTCCTTACTAACGATAACCAATGATAATATTCTGTACTGAATGTTTCATGAAAAGTAAAAATAAATAAAACTTGTTTCTTCAGAAATAAGTAAGGTTATATATCCTTGGCGCCAAAATTCCTGTCAAATTCGCTTAAGCCATAGCTAATTCGCTTAAGCTATATTCGCTAACCATTTTCGCTAAGGCGAAAATTTTCGCTTAAGTGACTTTTCGCTTAAGCGAAAGATTCGACTGTTGGTTTTTAAAAAACTGGAATTACACTGTCTCTTTTCCATTCCATTCCAACCCTTTTCTATTATTCTCTGAAAGTTTTGAACTTTCATCTTCCCCAAACGTCTCTGTTCGCAGTTTCAGATCAAGGTCAAGCTTCCATTTTTAACTCATGTACATAATGCATGCTTTATGTTCTGTTCAATGTGGTTTAGGGGTCCCTGAAAACTCACTTTCATTGTCGCTTAAGCGTCTAACGATTCTGTTGTTCTTAACTTCTGCATGACATTATAAGACTTTCATGTGTTCAATATTGTGATATATGAATGAGATTTGTATTATTGTGTCTATGTTTGGACTGATTTAGAACATTAAGTTTAGGGTTTAGGGTTAGTTTTCTTGCCTCTGTTATTCATGGTTGTTTAAGGGTTTAGTGCCTCTGTTGGAAGCCTCTGTAATTTTCGCTTAAGCGGGTTTAGTTCGCTTAAGCGAAAATTTATTCATAGGGAAATAGAAAGGTTGAAGGTTTCGCTTAAGCCACAAATTTTAGCTTGGGCGAAACATTGAAAGGTGAGATTTAATCACAGTTTATGTACTTTAGTCTTGACATTTCATTTCTAATACTATGCTAGAGTTTAGAACATTAAAATTAGGCTTGCATTACCCTATCATTTGCTTACTAAAATAGATTCATGAACCTTATGCATTGCTTTGAACAAAACTAAAATAAGGCTTCCTAAACTACGATTTCTGCTGCATAAAATTTGGACTATGGTAACTGAGAAGAATTAGAGACGAACCTAGCAAGTACCCTTGTGTTCTGGTGTTGTCCATTTGGTGCATATTGAGTTGTTATCCTTCTACTGTTCATGAACCTTATTGTTACTCAGCAAGATACTGATACTTTATTTGTTTAAAATCTTACTATATGAACTCATGTTCAGTCTTCCGTAATTCGAAGGTGAGTAACAATAAATCTTATAATTTGTTTTTTATTTCAGGATGGCACCAAAGAAGTCTATTCCTCAAAGAAAGAGGCAAAGACCTGAAATTGGGCAAGGTTCACAGCAACATGATGAACCTGTTGAACAACATCAACAATCACATCAAACTGCTGAAACAGAAATCATATCATTTGATATATTTAGGTTAAAAACTAGGGCCAAGGCTCAGAGATTTCTTGACTTACAATGTAGGGAATTGCTACCTGAGAGGAACGTCTCTTTACAAGAAGGACAATATGAAGAGTTTGTGCAGGAGATTATAAGAAGAAAATGACAATTCTTGGCAAATCTTCCTAACCAAATTCATGAGGTAATTGTCAAAGAATTTTATGCAAATGCATGGCCATTGATCCCACACAGGTCAGAGCGGAAGTCTTGGGTTCGTAGACACACTGTTGCTTATGACAGAGATGCAATATCAGCCCTGTTAGGCAACCCTCTGACCTTGGGGGAAGGGGAGCTATGCCAATACCAACAACATCAAGGCTCTTTGTCAGGTTTTTCAGATGACACGGTAGCTAACACCTTATGTGTCCATGGAAAATCCTGTGAAACAAATGCAGCGAATAAGCCAATGCGCTTCAAAAGACAGTTTTTGACTACTTTGGCCCAAATATGGGCATCCTTTCTCTTTGCCAACATAGCCCCAACCACACACACCTCAAATGTCCGGATGCCCCGAGCACATATGATATACAACATGGAGGGGATGTCTGTTGACATAGCAGCTATAATTTCAGATGAGTTGCACCAGTTTGTATTGTCCAATACCTCCAATACTGCATCAACAACAAGACCTTTGGGATTTCCATCACTAATCACTGCTCTGTGTGCTTCCCAAGGTGTTACAATTCCAGACACCTCCAATCAAACAATTACTTTGAAGAAACCAATTAATTATCAGTTCATCAGAAATTATTGCACCAATCCAATGGAACAACCGGTAGGAGATTCTTCTCAACCGTCTTCATCTGTACCACCTGCATCACAACCAACACAACCACGAACACAACCATCTATGCCTGAAGCACCACAAACAGATCCAACTCTCATATGCCATCTCACTCATATAGAGCAACAATTAGCAGCAAACAATCGTGCTTACACTCACCTAAACGAGTCCTTCTACAAGTAAATGTTATCTCCTTTACTATTTTAATTACTTTTATAATTTTTATTTCACTATTATCCTCATTACCTTCATCATATCTTTCCATAGGTTCACTCTACACCAACATCATGGTCAGGATTCTGCTTTCCCATGGCTCACACCCGAGACCTTTGCAGCAGCTGTATCATGGCCTGGAGATAACCCTACCTTCACATTTCAAGATGAAACTACACAGGATCCAGATCCACAGCCAGAGGAAGGACCCCACGAGGACATTCAGGACATTGAGGAAACTGATGGGGGAGATGTACAAGAAGGTCAACAATTACAGGAAGAAGAGGGACATGATGAGGGAGATGAGCCACAAGCAATGCAAGAGGATGACAATGTTGGAGCCACATGATTGGAATTGGGATTTTATTGTAATTGATTTTAATGAGTCAACATTTTGTGTTATGTTATGTAATGAATTTCATTTGTAGTTCTTGAATGCTTAATACTATAGTTCTCGTTAATGAATTTCATTAGTAGTTCTTGAATACTTATTCCTATAGTTCTCATTAATGGATTTTAATATTTATCACAATTGGTAATTAGAATAATTTTGCAATATCATTTACTCTGAATTTTTGTTTGTAAATTGAAACTCAGTTACCCGAAAAATAGTCATCTTCCCAACCATTTTCTATGTGCTTGTCAACTCCTTTTTGTGTAAGATGTAAGTTTGACGTAATTTATATGTAATCAAGTGTATTTTGGCCCCCTTAATTGCTGTTTGTATTAGGATTAGGTTGGATTTTTTGTACCTTTCGCTTAAGCCATCCAATTTCGCCCAAGCTCCTATATATTTCGCTTAAGCTAAAGACATGGGCTTAAGCGATTATATCAGCATGTGCAGGTAAATGTAATATCTGATAAATTCGCTTAAGCTGATAAAAATCACTTAAGCTAAAAAATGTTCGCTGCATTTGTAAAAGTCTGGCTTAAGCCCTACCACAATTAGGTTAAGCTATTTAAATTTCGCTCAAGCTAATTACACTGCCTAAAACATGTGTTCTCTGTTTTACATTCGCTTGATAACAATTAAATTCGCTGGTCGTGGCTTGAGCGAGGAGAAAATAGCTTAAGCTATTAACAATTAGCTTAAGCGAAATAGGTGACTGAAAAACATGACTCTTTGGTCCATTTTCACTTCAAATATTTCTTTTTCGCTTACGAGGGGCTTAAGCGATTTTAAATTAGCTTAAGCTATTAACAATTAGCTTAAGCGAAATAGGTGACTGACAAACATGGCTCTCTAATCCATTTTTGCTTCAAATATTTCTTTTTCGCTTACGAGAGGTTGGGCGATTTTAAATTAGCTTAAGCTATTAACAATTAGCTTAAGCGAAATAGGTGACTGAAAAACATGGCTCTCTGGTCCATTTTCGCTTCAAATCTTTCTTTTTCTCGCTTAAGCGAATTTCGTTTAAAAGTCTATTCTTGCCCGCTTAGGCGCATTTCTACATGTTTAAGCCCTGTACTTGGTCGCTTAAGCGAGAGGAAAACTGCAGCTTGCAGTTCTGGCGGGAACTGTAGGCAATCTGGATCCTAACATTAGCACGGTGCTAAAGGTGGGCTTCACCTTGATTCTTGTATCATTCGTTTATTCAGAAGAAGCTGATCCCATTAAACAAATGTTGATAATATAGGAAATCGATAATTTCATTATTTTACTTTTATTATATGGGTGATTAATTAATTTGACTCAAAGGTTCTTATAAAATAAATAAATTTTATAAAATTTCATAAAAATAAAATTAATAAATGTTTCATTATTTTAAAATGCAATATATTTTTAAAATGGAAATAAGTATCAAATTTTAAATAACAACCCCATAATTAAAGATCTAAATCAAGTAAAATTTCATATACTTAGATGGCGTCAAGAGCAGAAAAAAGGACCACGGTCTAAAAGTTTAAGCAATATGAAGCGCATAAGTACTAAATATAACGTACTGCAAAATCTTAATATCGATACAAAATACTTCTGAACCGAAAAAAGAAAGCATTCCATGTTAAGTCTAAAATAGCTGCTGGAAATCGAAGATCAAAATCAATCATTGTGGATTAAACTACCAGAAAGAAATGAAACCTAAAACATTTTAACTTGTATAAGCTCCCATAAGTATAGAAAAATGACAACCTCAGACTTGAAAAAATAACCAATTCTAGGACATTCTCTGGGCTGCTTCCTTGGCAAGGAGCTTTTCCTTGGCCTTGGTCTTGGCTTGGGATTTGGAACCCATGATCCCACCACCCCACTTCTTTCTGTATTCATCAAACTTGTCATTGAAGTTGGCCTGAAAAGAAAACAAGACACTCTGGTTAATTTCATTGATTAAAAGAGTACTAAACGGCAAACACATAAAATATAACACAGTTGAACCATTATATCAAAGGCTCTAAACTTAACCACCTTTATAGCCTCCAAGATTCTACTGAACTCCAGTTTGTCTTCATTCTTGACAGTCGTCAAACACAAAACTGAAGCAGTTTTCTTATGGACAATCTGTCAAAAGGGCACATCAATAAACCGAATCAGGTCATAAATCAAAATTCATACTGGCAAACTTTCGAAAACAATGTTACTACGTTTCAAAAACCAAACACAATCAACCAGCTATATAACACATTCAGCCTATCCCTGATCACATTATCCAGTGTCCAAATTCTAAAACATTGACTCGGTTATTCAATTTAAATAAAATTACCGATCCCAGGCGTGCTTTGCCCTTAACAATGCAATAAGGAATCTCCATCTTCCTGCACAATGCTGGAAGCCAGACTACCAGCTCAATTGGATCAACGTCATGAGCAATCACTACAAGCTGTGCTTTATTCTGCCAAATAAATAAATAAACTACATTACTCAAACATCAGTATAGAATATTTATGCATATTCATTCACTCCTTCAAGAGTCAGTAATATTGACAATAAGAATAAATATGCAATTTGAACCCTGGAAGTGACATCTTGATTATCTTTAATCCCTGAAGGGGGGGAAAGAAATTTTTATATTTCAATTAGCATTCTTTATTTTCATAATTTTTAGAAATAAAAGTCATAAAATGATAGACTAATATAAACTTAATGTGCTAATATTTTGTTTACTTTAATAATTATTATATAACTATAAAATTTATTTTATTTATTACATTGGCCTCCCCTTCCCTCTCCTCCCCTCCAAAACCCAACTCCCAAACAAGCCCTTAGTATATGAGTGGGTTAACTTATTCACAAAATCGCGAGGAAAAAGTAACATACTCGAAGACCAAACTGTACTAGGCTAGGCAAAACAATAAGGAATCAAAGATAAACAGAATACGGCTTTCAGAAAACAATTTGTATAAATAATCTACAAACAACAACAGTGATGAATAAAAAACCTGCTCAATAAGGTAGGTAACGTGATTGAGACCGTATTTAACAACGATAGGCTTCTTAGCTTCAATGGGTTTGCCATCAGCCTCAGCTTGCGCCCTTTTCAAAAGACGTTCTTTCTTCTCTGCTTTGTCTTCGGGCCTGTACTTGAGCAGCATCTTAAAAAGGTTGGTCGCTGTTGCCACAACAAAACCACTTAAAATTAATATTATTATAGGAACCGTAGAGAGCGTGTAACCGTATGAATTGGAAACCGTACCGAGATTTTTATCGAGTGTCTTGGTGAACTGGTTGAGTGCGGGTGGAACCTTGAGCCTCTGTTTGAGGATCCTCTTCTTCCGTTGGATTTGAACGGTCTTCGGCCATTTCACGAAGCGAGTCAGGTCCCTCTTCGGTGGCAACGCTCCTCCGATCCCAAACTGCTTCGGACGCTTCTCGAACAACGGGTTCACCACCTTCTCCTACCATAACATTATTAACTTATTATCCATTATTTTACACAAGACCAAAAAATTAAATAAATAAGATGCTCACTGGCTTCTTCTTCGCAGCTACAACTGGAGCTTTTACACCTCTTTTTGGAGCCTGTTAAGTTCAAACACACCATAAGTAAATAGATAAAAGGGGTTGATAACAAAGAGCATCATAAACGACACCGTTAAATGGGACTCCCTCACCATTGCCTCTGGTTATGGCTGCCTGGGGGCGACGGAGAAGGAATGAATAAGGGCTTTGGAAACGATGAACGCTCAAACCCTAATTAACTTAAACATCGTTGGGTTGTTGGGTCGGGTTAGGTCCAGCCCATCTATGTAGTTCATGGGCCTTCGTGACAATTAACTAGTAATTGCAGATAAATACCATAATTATTTGCACTCGTCACAAATATCTAACATATCTGTGGTTATTTTTTATTATTACGTTTTCAAACATGAAATCTAACCATGCAGCACATTATTTTAACGATAAAAAAAATGCACTTATGTTCTTAAACTATAAAATTTAGTTTCAAACGAATGTCTTAAATTTACCTCAACTTGCATTTTACCTTAATAAAATTGACACAATTAGTGCATAATTTTTTTTTTTTTTTATAGTTTATCATTTTTAATGAACTAGTATCTATCTGTAAAAAATTACGTCCAGTCCATATATAAATGTTTTATTATATTTTGGTTAATGTTATTTGCTTTTTAGTTTTTATTGTTATAATATTATTTATTAATTTTAAAAAAATAAAAAATAACAAAATACTCATGTAAAAGATAAAATGTAATTTTTTATTTATAAAATTAATTTAAAAATATGTTAAATATATAGACTAAATATATATACTCTAATTAATTGTAATTTTAAAAAATACATGAAACTAAATTTAATTGAGAGAAAATATATATTATAATTCAATTTTTTTTTTATTTTGATTTTTTTACTAATAAAAATATTTATTTAATTTTATATTTTCTTTTATCTAATCTTTAGAAAAATAAATAAAATATTAACAATTCAACATTAATATTTTTATTATATTTTTATAAAATATTTAAAAAAATAAAAAAAATAAAAAACTGTTATATTTAAAATGTGAAATTACATAATCACTCTAAATTTTAAATAATCAAATTTATTACATAAATGAATACATAGCTTATCTATTTTGATATAAATAAACAATTTTTTTATAATCACTTAAAATTTTATTAATTAATTTTATGATTTTTTTTATTAATTAGATATTTTATTCATAAAAAAATATTTAAGCATATTTATTCTTTTTTTTACTATGATAAAAAAATTTATTATATGCGAATTATTTTTAGTACTTAATTAATTATAATTATAACTTTAATTAATTTATATATTTAATAAAGTAATAAATATAATTATAAAAATGATATTAATTTAAATATATATGTTTTCAATCTTTTTGAAAATGTAAAATTATTTTTTTGTACTTTATTTTTATTTTTTAAATAAGTCTAGCAATTTTTTTATTTTTAGTTAAAATACATATTTAATTCTTGTAATTAACATTTATTTATGAACTAATTCTAGTATGAAAAAGAAGAAAAAAATATGTTTTAAACCTTGGATAAATATTTTGTTATGTCAAAATTACTACTATTGTAACATGATGAAGGACATAAATTAAGAGGTAAATGATATTGAAAACAAAATACTTACATTAATATTAACATATTTTTTAAAGATGTGAACTAATTTGTAAATGAATGTTAATTATAAAGATTAAATGTATACTTTAATTTAAATTTTAAAATTAATAATTAATAATTTATAAAATATTACATTTTTAGTTGTACTTAATATTTAATAGGATCTAATAGTTATTGTTAGAAAATATATTGAATGAGGATAAAAATTATAGTGATCTCAAGTTGGTCTTTATAAATATTCATATAAATTCTTATTATTGTGTTGTAAGTTCTGCTGAGGTTTGTGTCTTCTTCGATGATGGTTTCATTTCAAAGCCCTGTTCAACGCCTGTAGCACTGCATGGCTCGACAAGAGGCTGAAAAACGTTATAAGGAAAAGACAAATTTAATGGAAAGAAACACTAAGAAGGTAAAGCAGGTTTCGCTGATTTTAGAGGAGGTTTTGGACATGTGAATACCCAATTTTATCCGAGTCTCTTTCAAAAATAAATTTTAAAATAAAAATTAAATATAATAACTTAATTTTTTAAAGAGGTTAAGAAAATAGATAAAAAACTAATTTAAATTCAAATTTTTAATTTTTAAATATAAAATCAGATTTAGAAATAGTCCTAGTAGTTAGTAGATTTTTAAGAGAATGGATGAAAAAGAAAAAAACTAATTACTGATCATTAGAAAATAAGAGAGTCTTTATTAAAATCTAGGGTTTTAGAAAATGCCTATAAATAGGAAGTTTAGGTCTTTAGAGAATGAGACTTTTATGTGGACACCTTTTATTTTTTACGGGAACACTTTGAGAGCACAGAGAAAAAGAAAGAGAGAATTCAAGAAAGAGAACTCAAAAAACGAAGAGAAAGAGGAGATTCAAGAGAGAGAGCTCAAAAAACGAAGAGAAAGAGGAAAAAGCTAAAAGAAATCAACTGAGAGTTAAAACATAGTCCTAGAGATCAATTAGAAAGAACATATCTAGAAGATTGAAGGAAAAGTCTACTCAAAAACTCTAAGTCATCACAAATGATTCAACAAAAATAGAATTCACTTCTCTTTATCTTTCGGTAAGAATTACTATTTCCTTTTTCTTTTACTCATCCTATCTCTATGTATTTTCTCTTTTGTCTGTATTAAATTTTTTTCCTTTTGCAAACCCTAGTTTATCTAATCTAAAAACTTTTACTTTTCTTATAAACCTACAAAATTTCTAATTTTCTTTTTAACTCTAAAATTTTCCTTTTTGCGAATCCTAATTTTTTTTTTCTAACATGAAAAATTTGTTCGTTTTGTAAAAAAATAAAAGCCTAATTGTTTCTACCCCAAAAATAATTCTTTTTGCAAAACCCTACAAAATATAGTTTTTCTTTAAAAACATGTTTTCAATGATAAACCCTCTTTCTATTTTGTAAACCTAAAAACCCTAATGTTCTTTCCACCCTAAAATGTCCATTTTGCAATCCCTAAAACATTTTTCTCTAACCTTTAAACATCCTTTTTGCAAACCCTAAAACGATTTTCTTTCTCTAACCTGAAAATATCTTTTTTTTTTTGCAAACCCTAAACATTTTCTACCCAAAAATGTCATTTTTGCAAACCCTAAAAACAATTTTTAAAACCCCAAGTATTCTTTTTTCACAGACCCTAAAAAGTAAATTTTTTTTCAACTCTAATAATTTTCCAAATTATAAAAATCTAAAATTTTCAAATCCTAAAAGTTCTTCTTTTACAAATCTTAAAATTTCCAATTTTTTTTTCAAATTCCAAAAAAAATAATTTCTAAATCAAATAAGAATTATTTTCTTATTATTTTTGTTCACTCTTGTGTTTATTTTTTATTGTTCTATATCTTTCTCGTTTATTTCCTTATTGTATATATATAAAAAAATCTAATTTTAATAGGACATTTTGGTTATCTAAAAAAAAGGTCTTTTAAATCTACACAACGGCCAAATAATTTTGATAAAGTAGTGGATCCACCTTTAACATTACTTGGATCATAAGAGTTTATTGAGTAGTCTTGTACTAATTTAAACTCTGTGCATGAGTAGATTTATAAAAAAATACTAATAAAATAAAAATCAAGCTTTAAAAAAAAACTTTGAAACTCACCCAAACTTAATTTTCAAAAGAACTACGTGACATTTGATTCTTTGTTAGATACGGAAGATACGTAGGAGCGAGAACTTTACCGTCAAGTCCGAAAATTAAATTTTTATTTTTTTTAAGTTGAAATTATTTTAAGAAAATTTTAAAATAAGAATAAGTAAAAATAATTCTAAAAAGAAAAAAATTGTTATTTTTATTTTAAAAAAAAGATAAGTAAATAAAATGTCAAGAAAAAATGTTTTATGATTATTTTCATTAATGTCAAAAATGTAAAAAAAAAGAAAAAGAAAAAGAAAAAGAAAAAGAAAAAGAAAAAGAGACGAAGCAATAATATTCTATGATTAATCCTTTTTTTCAATATAAAATTATTGTTTTTAATTATGTTTCCTTATTTAAAAGTAAAAAATAAAAAAATGAATTAAAAAATCAAGTTAAATTTTATTTAAATTTATTTAATATGAAAATAAAAAAAAGGAGAGAATAAAATTTTATAAACATTCCATTTTCTCAAGTCAAAATTCAATTTTTTTAGTTCTTTATTTAAAAAAATATAAAAAATATAAAAAATGAATTTTCATTAAAAAAAATAAGTTAGATTTTATTTGAATTTATTTAATACAAAAATAAAAAATGAATAATATTTTATAAATAATCCATTTTTTAATTCTTTAAAAAATAAAAAATATAAAAACAATTTTTTTTACTTAAAAAATTAAAAATTAAGTTAAATTTTGTTTAAATTTATTTAATATGAAAATAAGAAGAAAAAGAGAATAATATTTTGTAAATAATCCATTTTTACAATTAAAACTAAATTTTTAGTTCTTTACTTAAAAAAAAATACAAAAATAAATTTTTACTTAATAAAAAAACTAAGTGCAATTTTATTCAAATTTATTGAATATGATAATAAAAAAAAGAATAACATTTTATAAATAATTTACTTTCCGTATTCAAATTAGATTTTTAGCTCTATATTTAAAAATAAAAAATAAAAAAAATGAATTATTACTTTAAAAAAATAAAAAAAATCATGTCATATTTTATTTAAATTTATTTAATATAGAAATAGGAGAAAAATAGCTTTTTTTTTTTATATAATTCATTCCTTTCATTCAAAACTTTTAACTGTGTTCATTTATAAAATAAATATATAAAATTAAAACCTAAATTTTTTTTTATAAGAATGAGAAATAAGACTACAAAATAATGATAAATAAAAAAATAATAAAAAACATCAATGATTTTTTTTAGAGTGAAATAAATATTTTTAAAGTTAAAATGATTTTTGTATAATTAATTAGAAAATAATCGTTTTAATCAATGGATGTCGTAAGATGCTAATACTTTTCTTGCACGTAAACGACTCTCCGAGCCCAAATTTGGTTTCAAAGATTATTTTATTAAATATTTTTTCAATATTTTTTTAATAAACTTTGGTAGCGACTCTCTGTCATTACTTTCCCATGGTGGCAGCAAGAA